CTCCACAGTGGGTGGGGGGAGAGCGCTGGGTTGAGGGGGGGGGGGCAAACTGCCTGCTTGCAGCCAGGGGGGACCTTTTGCTGCTGCCAGCTGGGTGCTCCATGTGCCTGGGCTCTGTCCCCTGGCACCCCACAGACCTGAACTCTCAACTCCAACATCCCCACAGACCTGAAGCCCCATCCCCTTGTTCTCCCCTTGACCTGGACCCCCGTTGTCTCATGTACCCTGTCCCCCACCCCCCATCCTGTGGGTCTGCCCCAACTCTTCTGTGTCCCAGCTCCCCCATGAACCTGGGGTCACATTGCTAAGGTCCCCAACGCTCCCTACAGGCACAGCTTCCTAGCCCTTGGGACCCCAAACTCTCTGCCCCTCTGTACACCTCAGCTCCCAGGTCACCCAAAACCCTGAGTCCCCTCATACCCCATTGTAAGTCCCTCCACCCACTGGCTTTCCCAGGGATCCAGGAGTTCCCAAGCCCTGTGACTCCCACAGCCCCCCCCATCTCCTGCTCCCACAGCCCTAACCCTGCTTCTCAGGCTGATCCCAAACTGCTCCACCCACTCCAGGCTGATGTGGTGTCCCTCAGCCCAGATCCCTGCTCTATGTCCCCTGACATGCAGGTTAGCTGGAGATGGATCCTGGTCACTGGGGCTGCTGGAGGAGAGGGGCTTGGTGGATCTGGACCCCTCCTCACCTCTCCCCATTGTCTCTGGGGCTTGTTTTCCGTTGCCTGCGTTTTTTTCCAGTGACTCAGGCAGCGAAAGCAAGTCTGGGAGGCTGTGGAACTGCTGCTGGGAGAGCTGCACTTGGGGGGCTAGGGAGGAGAGGGATGGGGGAAGCAGCCAGGGCTTTTGGGCTGTACGGGACTGGGACATTCCACTGCAGGATTCAGGGAAACTCAGGGGACAAGCTGGGGAAAAGAAACTTTGGAAGGGGTGTTACATCCAAACAGGATCAGTGGGGAATTGGTGGGGGTGTAACATGGGATCTGCCTGTGTTTCCCCCCACCAGGCATCCCCTCTCTGTTTCCAATAGCGATGGATGGCAGCGGTGGAGCACCCAGAGCCTAGCTCAGCACCCATAGGAGCCCCTGCTTCCTGAACACTTTGCACACCCCCACCCAGGAGAAGCCATCAGCCCCACTGGGCTGTGGCACCCTGTGGCACACTGGCTGAGCATTGCCCCTCATGGCCTGTGGCTTTTTCTTATGCAGGTCACATTTCAGTGCCAATATAAGCAATATCCATGGGTCTGGCATGACGACTGTATCCTGATTTCCATTTGATTCACATCTCACAATATCATTCTCAAGAAATTCAGCTAAAAGTCCAGTGTGAGAGCTCATCCTCTTACTCTGCAGGAGATGTCATGGGCTGATGGGTGGCTTGGTTATATGGCATTGGACTCTTGGAGCAGAGGTGGTCCCTGCTGCTGGCACACTGCCTGGCTGCCAGAGGCTGTGGGGTGCTGGCTGAGGGTCTGACAGCACCCCACAGCTGCATGTAGCAGCTGAAGCCATGGGTGGTGAGGAAAAACCTGTCCAGATGTGTCTTTTGGGAGCCAAGATCACCTCAGTCCATTTCCCAGTTGTGACTTTCTCCCCGAAACACCCTCCTGACTTCATGACACCCAAGGGTTGCTCAGGACAAGCTGGTGGAGATGGGTCCATGCAGGTTTGAGTGGGTGTTGGGGGTCACCCACCTTCTACAGGTCCTAATGAACATGGGCAGGAGGTTGAGACAGGACTGGAGACCCATGGGTGGTCACAGGCTTAACCATCCATGACGCAGGGACTGTCCAGCAAAGCACCAAGAAAGCAGGGAGTTGGCAGAGCTGTGGTACATCCTGGTGCCACCAGCCACTGGCGTGGCACTCATCCACCCTGGAGTTCTGGGCACTGCAAAGAGATCCCATCACTGATGTCTCAGAGCTGGAGGGACATGCTGAAGACCCAAGTGACCCACCCTTGGGCTGGGGAAGGGGCAGACAGAGAGCCCCGAAGCCAGCAGTGTGGGTGGCTCAGAGGAACGGTGCTGTGTGGTGAGATGCAGAGGTCCCAGGCAGTGCTGGCATCATGGGGACCCCCGCGCCTCCTGGCTGGCTGTGCAGGACACTGGTGGCCGTGGTGGGAGGCCAGGTCCGGTGGGCTCCAGGCAATGGCCGAGCCCCGCTCCCAGCTGGGATGGCAGCGCCGTGTTTGCGAAGAGTTAAGGAGGCGGAAGAGGCAGGAAGCG